CCCTACCCCCCCTCAGCCCCTGCCATCCCAGACCCAGGTACAGCCCCACCTCCTGCCCAGCCCCCTACTGTCCCAGCCCACGTGTGCGGCCTTGTGCAAGAAGTCCTCTGCAGCCAAAGTGCGGGGGCTCTTCATCCAGGCAGCCCCCTCAGCCCTGAGCCTCCCTCCCCCTTCCAGGCTGACATCCCCCTTCCCACCTGGGAGTCTCCGAGGGAAGCACTGGACTTTATTTTTCTGACCAAAAGAGGATTTGAGTTTTTCAAAAAACCACCAGTGAAATTACCTGTCAATGTTGTTTCACCGACACCCGTCTGCGCTGTCAGGGGGTGGTGAATGTGCACAGTGTGAACGGGGGGCCGGGAGGGTTTGGGGGAGGAAGGCACCAGGGCACGGGGCAATCCCAGAACTGGAAGGCGCTGGGGAAACTCACTGGGCTCCGGGGGGGAAGGGCTCCCTCAGGGCTTCCTGAATGCGCAATCCCAGCTGGTGGGCTTGCCGGGTGCCTGGGGCTGCTCAAAATGCCTCCCCTCCTCGTCAGCCCGTGTCGCTAGGCCTCCCCTTCCCTCTCCACGAGGCTGTGCAGCCCGCAGCATGTAACAGCCGTATCGGGGATGCGTCCCCCCACGTCCAGCCGAGCGAGCAGGCGTCTGAATCTGCCCTTCAGGCGGCCGAAGGCGCACTCCACCGCCCAGCAAGCCTGGTTCAGGCGGGACTTTGAGTTCCCTGCTCACATCCAGGCGTCCCGTGAACGGCTTCATGAGCCAGGGCACAAGGGGGTTCGCCGCGCCGGCCACGGTGCACGTAGGCATCGGCACATCCCCGACCGCACGGTTCCTCTCCGGAAATAACGCCCCAGCCTGCCGTACAGGTAGGAGTTCCGGACAACGCGGCTCTTGTGTGCCCGGCCTGACACCCGACACACGTCTGCATTGTCCCCGCTGGTCGACCAGGGCCTGCAGCCCTTTCTGTACTGTTCCGTGCTGCTCGATGGGGTGGTGCGCGGATCGGGATGAGAGTCCCGCCGGGTGCTCCACCGCAGTTCGGAAACCCAGCCCTGCTGTTTTTCAACAAAGCGGATCCATTTTTTGATCCGCATAATGCAGTTTAGACGCTCTCTTTCGACAGAGGCTTTGTCAACAGTACCTGTCGATAAAGCCTGTAGCCTAGACGTACCCTATGGCTGTGTCTACACTGGGCCACTTATTCCAGAAAAGCAGCCGATTTTCCGGAATAAGCTGCGAGCTGTCTACACTGGCCCCTTGAATTTCCGGAAAAGCAGTGATGATTTACTGTAAGAAATCAGCTGCTTTTCCGGAAAAACTATGCTGCTCCGTGCTCCTGCTCGGGCATAAGTCCTTATTCCAGAACACTGTTCCGGAAAAGGGCCAGTGTAGACAGCCCAGTAGTCTTTTCCAGAAAAAAGCCCCGATGACGAAAATGGCGATCGGGGCTCTTTTCCGGAAAAGCGCGTCTACGTTGGCCACAGACGCTTTTCCGGAAAAAGGGCTTTTCCGGAAAAGCAGCCTGCCAGTGTAGACGCTCTTTTTCCAGAAATACTTATAACGGAAAACGGTTCCATTTTAAGCATTTCTGGAAATTCATGCCCGTGTAGACACCGCCTAAGAGGGACAGAAAGCTGGCTGGACTGTCGGGCACAACAGGTCCGGATTATCGGCGGGCGGTTTCTAGCGGAGCGCCCCAGGGATCAGTTCTAGGACCAGTTTTAACATCTTCATGAATGACCTGGCTGAGGGGGTGGATTGCACCCTCAGCAAGTTCGCAGCGGACGCTAAGCGAGGGGAGAGGTAGACACGCTGGAGGGCAGGGAGAGGGGCCAGTGACTGGAGGACTGGGCCACGAGATGAGGTTCAACAAGGACAAGTGCAGCTTGGGACGGAAGAATCCCAAGAACTGTTACAGGCTGGGGACTGACTGGCTAAGTAGCAGTTCAGCAGAAAAGGGCCTGGGGGTTCCAGTGGAGGAGAAGCTGGAGAGGAGTCAGCAGGGTGCCCCTGTAGCCAAGAGGGCTAATGGCGTATTAGGGGCATTAGGAGCATGGCCAGCAGATCCAGAGGTGTCATCATTCCCCTTTATTCGGCTCTGGGGAGGCCACATCTGGAGTGTTGTGTCCAGTTCTGGGCCCCCCACTACAGAAGGGACGTGGGCGCATTGGAGGGGGCCAGCGGAGGCGACCGAAATGATTGGGGGGCTGGATCACATGACCTACGAGGAGGGGCTGAGGGAGTTGGGTCTGTTCAGTCTGCAGCAGAGCAGAGCGAGGGGGGATTGGAGAGCAGCCTGCAGCTCCCGGAAGGGGTGTTCCAAAGAGGCTGGAGAGAGGCTGTTCTCAGTGGGGGCAGGTGGCAGAACAAGGAGCAA